TTTACAGATAAAGATGCTAATGTAGGATTAGCAGCAGTTCAACTTCTTCAATACCTGGCCCCCAAAATACGAGCTGAGCAAGTTTCTCCATTTTTTCCTTTGGTAAGTGCCCATCTCTCTAGTGCCATGACTCATTACTGAAGGAATTCAGGAGGACTCTTTAAAAGTTTTGGACATTCTGCTGGAGCAGTATCCAGCTCCAATTACTGGTCGTAGCAGTATATTGCTTATGAATTTTGTAGAACTTATTTCTCATCAGCAGCTGTCCAAAGGAATGGGAAATAGAGACAGACCCAAGTCCTGGATACTTTCTGCAAATCCTAATTGGAGACTCACTTCTCAGCAATGGAGGCTAAAAGTCTTAGTGAGACTCAGTAAATTCCTTCAGGCCTTGGCAGATGGGTCTAGTAGGATGAGAGAAAGTGAAGGACTTCAGGAACAAAAAGAAAATCCCCATGTCACTAGCAACTTCATTTTTATCAACTGGAAGGAACATGCCAATGACCAGCAACACATCCATGTTTATGAAAGTGGGGGTTCACAGCCAAATGTCAGTTCCCAGTTCAGGATATGAAATTTGGTTGGAGGACTAGGTGCTGTGGATGAAGGCCTGTCATTGCCTGAAAACCTGAAAGGATTTATTGAGATAATAATCCCATTGCTGATCGAATGCCGGATTGAAACTGTGCCTCCACTGCTAACTGCTTCTGTTGGAAATGGCATAGAGAGAGAACTTCTACAGATTATGCAGCAAGTACTTAATATTATTTTTCTTCTATGGAAACTCTCTAAACAGCATGATGAAACACATAAATGGGAGTCATGGCTTCGAAAGAATTACCTTATTGATTTCAAACACCACTTTATGAGGCATTTTCCACATGCCTTAAAAGAAATAACCAAACACAGAAGGAAAGAGATGAACAAAAGCAACAAGAATTGCACAATTCTCTCCAATAATGTAGATCATCTCTTACTGAATTTACCACTGTCTGATATCATGGTGTCCCTGGCAAATACCCCAACTTTGCAGAAAGATTCCAATTGGATAGAAATGATAAGGACATTTGTGACAGAGACCCCTGAGGATGGCTCTGGGATAAATAATAAGCAGCTGAACAGATTGCTTGGAGTATCATGGAGATTAATGCAGATACAACCAAATAGAGGTTTCAGAGGTTCTCATCAAGTCAGTTTATATACATCAGACCAGCAGAGGTGCTTTCTTCTTCCAGTTTGGACTTTGTTGCTGAAGTTTTTCAGTAAAATCTACCAGAAAGAACTGAGATCTTACAGACTCAGATATCGCAGTAAGGTATTACCCCGTTGGCTGGCTCGTTTACCATTGCAACTTGCTCATTTTGATTCCCAGAATCCTGAGCTCTCAACACAGCTGATTGATATCATTCATATTCTGCAGCGCGAGCAAATAAAGAACTACTAAAAAGTTTACAAGCTACTTCATTCTGAATTTATGATCCACAGGAAGGCACTGTGGTGGTTCTCCCTGCAGAGTCGCAGCATCGATTGGTTCAGCTTGTATATTTTCTACCCAGCCTGCCTACTGATTTGCTTTCTCAATTAAGTCATTGCTGTATTATGGGAAGACTCAGTTCAAATTTGGCTACGATGTTTGTTGGGGTACTATACATGAAATCATCATTTTCTGGATGGAAGTATTCAGTTCAAGCCTGGCTGATGAGTGCTGTGGACTATTTCAGCTTCTTAATTTTCTATACTTACAGGGTTTTCAAAAGAGGAGTTGACTTGGCTTCAGAGCCTTCGGGGAGTTCCTCATGTTGTCCAGACACAGCTTTCTCCTGTGCTTCTCTACCTTACAGACTTGAATCAGTTTTTACACCATTGGGATGTAACTGAGGCAGTTTGTCACAGTTTATTGGTTATCCCTGCCCAAAGTCAAAGCTTCAACATTCTGCAAAGTGTCATCAGTGAGCATCTGGTGGCATTGACTGTAATTGCTGATAGCACAGCTGGCTGTGCTTTTGGTGTTCTCTGTACACTCCTGGATCATACCTGTGTAGTGAGTGAAAGCTACTGCCATTTCTGGCTTCATGTTGCTACATCCTTCTTTATTTTCTGCTTACTCCACAGAAAGAGGAACTTGAACATCTAAAGAAGAGACACAAGCTGGGGAGGCGGGGCCTGTGTCTCTACTCTGGGTCTCCTGCCTCGAGGCCTCAGGCTGATGCTGCAGAGCCTGCGGATGAACAGTTGGACCTGAGGAGCTGCCTGTTGTTGGCCAACCGCTTCACCTGCTACTGTGGCATGCCCCCCCCAAGGACTCACATGTTGACTAATGCCATCTTGGTGGCAGCAGATCAAGAATATCACTACAATGAGGAGTGCTGGGGTTCAGGAGCCATGGCTCACAGACTTACAGTCCTGTTTCAGTGTATATTATATATCACTGGGCATCACTGGGGCCTACTGCATTGAGTACAGTGTATTGAAGAGGCCCTGTGATACCTCCTGTTGAAGTTGCTTATTATTTTGAAGAGAGATAATAAATACCTGATGTAATAGGTGTTTGTCATTTAAGCTAAACCTTTAAAGAAAAAAAAATCTAACATGTAGGAGTCATTTCCAGGTTCTCGTCTCAGTCCAAGAAGCCAATATTTGTAATCCCAAAGTTATGTTATTGGAATCCCATCAAGTTAATTCCAATCTACCACTACCAGTGCAACCCACGGCAAAAGTAAAGACACTAAAACATATTTATAATTATTGGGGAGCCAAGGGACCCTAAGTCCAGCCACAAAGATGGCTTTCCGGAACTCAAAGGCTGACATAGTGCCTCATCCGGTTGTATTCAGTGGAGGAGTGGCATGAGGAGGAGTGGCTTGAGGAGAATGACCGAGAATTGTGGGAAGTAGGTTACTACTGTGAGCTGAGCTAGGTGGGTGGCCTACATTTACCTCTGCCATATGCAGAGAAGATATGCAGAGAAAGTAATCTGCTTTATGCTGATGAGGTAGTATCTAATGTTTTGGGGGCCTGGTGCTTCAGCTTTGATGTAGTCTTTCAAGCCCAGGAAGTCATAGCCTCTATCTCGAGGCTCAATCCAAGCTGGCAGCGCGGAGCATTAGCTCTTCCGTCCTGTCTCAACCTGGCTCACTATAAAGAGCAGCAGATATAAGTTACCAAGGAAACATGCACACCACCTTCAAAGACTATCACCAGCACCTCAGCTAAACCAATACACATTGCTTAAGGCCAATTGAAGGATAAACAGAAGTCCTAGTCAGCTCTGTACATAATGATACAGGGAAATAGGGTGAGGCTCAGTCAACATGGAGACAGTGGCTCTTCTTTCAAGAAGAGCTGCTCAAGTGGTCCTCCACACTAACATCAATGTATAACTAGTTAACCAATTGGGGAATGTGACATTTGGATTCCTTTTTGAAACAGGGACAACAAGTCTGTTCACAGAATCTTTATGATTTATTACTGCATGGCTTATTACTACTTGGTGCTGAGTTCCAGAATAAATTTCTAAGCCAAAGGTGTAAACTGTCTTTGCCCATTCCAGGCATATATTTTTATACCATATTTGGAAGGTTCATTTGGCTGAAAGCTTCAACAGACACAAAATGATGCAAGTCGTTCATTAATTATCATCTGTGTGGATAGTGTATAAATTACGTTTCAGTTAAAAAAAAAAACTATCAAAAACGAGCAAATAGCAGCCAAATTGTCAGATTTTTTTTTTCTTTCTTGGTGGGTCTGTTTGCCATTAAAACATAATCAATTTTGAAGGAAACCAAATCTCGAGTGTCATTATTGTTCTAAAACTCTCAATGCAATCAATACCCGTCACTTGTCCAATAATCCTTTCTGAATACTTCAGATTCTGAAAATTAGAGTGAGAAAGTCCTCCTATGAAGGCATTTTTGACTAGTTAAATATATATTTACAATACTTTTTTCTAAAAAAAAAATACTGTTTTCTTATCTCAGTCAAGGTCTTCAGTCTGTACTTCTGTCATGTCTTTCTTTTCTTTCTTTCTTTCTTTCTTTCTTTCTTTTTTTTTTCTTTTTCGTATTTTAGGACAGGGTCTACAAGGCTCACTACATAGATCAGACTCATAGTGATCCTCCTGTGTTCAGCCTCCCAAGCACTGGGATTACAGGCATGAGCCACCACACCCAGTTTTAGTCACCATCCCAGCGTGCCCCAGGAGCGGGGCTGACACAGCACACCCAGGGCTTAAACCAGTCCCTGCATCTGCCTAAGCAGGTGCTTTAATCCACAGAGCTACCTGGCTGGCCTCTGATTTCCAATTTAATCTATCTGCTTGAGTTCTAGGCTCATCCTAGGTGGGCAGGGAGTCTGGGGTTGCATCTGCATCTTGTCATTTTCTATTTTCTATTTTGTCTTCTATGTTAATACTTGCCAGTTTCTCATGATCTATAGCTTTATCACTAGTATTGAGATTTCCCTAGAGATGTCTGCTCTTCAGGGATGCCTTCTAGATGTCAGTGGTCCCTTATAGCCAACCCAAGGCCCTATCTTCCCAATTTGTAAAGGAGACAAGATCACTATTTAGTTCAGGTCCTAGTCCTTTGGTACTGGGCTGTAACGAGGATTATGAGCTCGCGTACTCACAGTGCTATCGTACAGGGGAGACAAACTATTTACAACCTGTGTGACAGCCTGGCTAAAGTAGTACAGTTAGTAACAACATTAGTTTCAAGTACAGCTTCACTACTGATAAACTCTGGTAACCATTTACCTTAAGTTACCTCTGACCACAGGAGCAAACTGAAATTATTTAATGGGGCCAGGGAGATGGCTCAGTAGAATAAGTGCTTCTCTGGCAAGCGCAAGGGTCTGAGTTCAATCCTCAGTTCTATATATATATTTTTTTTTTAACTAAATCATACATATACTCAGCACTTGTGTGCAGTGATTTTTTTCCCCTTGGTTGGGTGATTATACTCTTCTGTGGAAAGCAGGGGGCTTAAGATGGGTATGGGGCTCTCTGGGTTTGGGCCGCCTCGCATCGACATGGCTAAGCGCACCAAGAAGGTCGGCATGGTCGGTAAATACGGGACTTGCTATGGTGCCTCCCTCCGGAAAATGATGAAGAAGATTGAAATCAGCCAGCACGCCAAGTATACCTGCTCCTTCTGTGGCAAGACCAAGATGAAGAGGCGGGCCGTGGGGATCTGGCACTGTGGCTCCTGCATGAAGACCGTGGCTGGTGGTGCCTGGACCTACAATGCCACTTCGGCGGTCACAGTCAAGTCAGCCATCAGAAGACTGAAGGAATTGAAAGACCAGTAGAAGCTCTTACTATTTGAGACATCTCTAGCCTATAATAAATGGGTTAATTTATGTTAAAAAAAAAAGATGGGTATGGGATAGGCTAGAGTGATGAGCAAGATCAAATATAGTAATCAAGCCCGGAGACTAAAGGATTGTTACATGAGTTTTGGGAACCTGGAGGACACAGGGCCCCCTCCTGTCCCTCTCTTGGACAGGAGCTTTCTTTCCCTCAGTAAATATGTTCTGCTCATAAAAAAATAATAATATGAAGGATTAGTCAGAAAGGGTAGAGACGATGTTTACTTGAAAGTTTAAATTCAAGAAGTAGTTGAGGAGAGAAAGAGGGTGGTCCATAGAAAAGAAAAGAAAAAGCAAGAAACCTAAACATTGAAAAAAAGAAGGGGGAGAGAGAGGAAAATGAAAGGAAGAGAAGAAAGAAGAAAAGAAAAAGGAGATGAGAAACAGAGAGAAGGGAAAAAAAGAAAAAGAGAAAAAAGTACAAAAACAACTACAGAATACAGAACAAAGCAAGAGGACACCCAGTCAGGAAAGGGATAATCAATAAGACAAACAAGGGAGAAGAAAAGTAGTAAATTACCTCAGGTGTTTATAGTTCTGTGATAATGTCCTTATTTAATCCCAGAAATGTGATGAGGTGCTTGGATATGGAGCTGATCCTGGCCTCTGGGTGTCGGGGCTGGGACTGGTCTCCCATTGGTGGAGCTCTCCAGGCCAACTGCTGGCCCCTGGCTGCCGTTCAGACACTTCCACGTCGCTGGTCTCACTCATTACTCCACTCCCAAAGGCTTGTGGGTTCCTGTGGCCTCGGACCTGGGGCCTGGCCGTTGTCCTGGGTCCCATGTCTTGGGATTCCAGTCAGTGTACTAGACAAATGCCTGTGTCCTGGCCCTCTCCTCTCACAGACCCTGCTGTCCCAAAGATAACGGAGGAAGCTCAGAACACAGACGCACACTCTCTCACAGACCCTGTGGTCCCGGAGACAATGCAGACTGGGCCATCTTCAGCCTGGACTACAAGGCTTATCTCTCCTTAGCCTGCTTCCCAGATTTTTGCCCAGACATCACTCTCCAGTAGCTCTCATGGGCTTCATGAGCTCCCACTCCACCCCACCCCCTTCTACTTCCCAAAGCATCTGACCCTGGTCTTTGCCTGAGGTGTCCTGCCAACCCCACCCTCTCACCACTCTTCCTCCAGCTCTACCACACCCTAGCCAGGTGCAATGCCCCCTCTCTGTGCCCATGACACCCTTTGCATGTCTCCCTCCTGGCACACTGCTTGCTTTTCATGTGGAATTCACTGCCAGGCTTAAAGGTCAGCTAGGTACCACGCCTATGTCTCCAGCACTGCCCATGTGCCTGACCATCTCAGGTGCTTCACTAAGAGCTGCCACAGGATCCAGGGCCCCACACCCACCCAAGAGAGGGAGGATGGGGGCACTCAGAGCCTTTCCTGGGCCTGATAAAGCTGGACACGTGGTCCAAGTGTGGTGCCTCCTAACTTCCTTCTCCTTTGCCAGACCATTCTTCTTCTTGAAACAAAATTTGTGCACCTAGCATACCTAGGGGGGAACACAGGAACTGCCTGTTCCTCCTTTGTCTCCCCCTACTTCCCCTGGGATTAAAGGTTCTCGGTGGTAGCTGTGAGAGGCAGACATGCAGCCTTCTCAGCCCGTTCCCTGCCTGCAAAGTGCCAGGCACAGAGCAAACTGCTGGTGTATCCTGAGAATTATAGTTACTGGGTTTTCTCAGATCAGCAGACTGGGAAACGAGGGGACTTTAGGCCTAAGGGTGAAGCAAGAAACAGGTCAGTTTGGTGATCAAGACAAGTAACGTGTGTGTGTGTGTGTGTGTGTGTGTGTGTGTGCATTTTAGGGCAGGGCCTACAGGGTGTTCAGGGTCTCACTACTAGATCAGACTCATAGTAATCCACCCGTTTACAGCCTCCCAAGAGCTGGGATTACAGGCGCTCTACCTCACTCAGTCTCAATTGCCGTCTCAGCACCCCTCGGGGGGCGAGGCCCACACAGCAGGCCCAGGGATCAAACCCCGGGCCCCGGCATCCCCTTGCAGGTGCTTTAATCCACTGAGTTATTTAGTCCAGCCCTCCAGACAAGTGACATTCTAATGCTACATGTCTCAAAATTAATCCAAGAACCCACAATGAGCAAAATTTTAAACCTACCAATAAAGACCATATGTGAGATGGTGCTTATACTCCCTGTCTTATAGACCCTTCCATCCCAGCTCAGCTCCAGTGGAATGTTATTCACAGGGCCAGGCAACCTCCCTGTGAGCCATAGTTTGTCGGTCTGATTTTCTAAAAATACTGCGTTAAATTTGTACTTTGGCTATGGAGCTATTGGACATACCCTTAATTTTTTGTGTCTTTTTCTTTTTTTTTTTTTTTGAGCCCCAAGCAAGTGATTTAGTGATCTCATTATAGGTGGAGGTGTGGAAGGTCTGGAGGACACTCACAGAATTTAGTGGCCAGAGGCAGGGAGGTGACAGGAAGTCAAATGTCCTGCAAGGCTCAGAAGTCACACCCAAGTGTGAACTCCAAGAACACCCCTGTGGTTAGGAACATGTGTAGGTACACTGATAGTCACTTGAAAAGTTGAAGAATATCCTTGTAGCCAGAGGTGATGCATTCCTGTAATCCCAGTACTCTGGGGCTGAGGCAGGAAGATGAAAATAAAAGGCTGAGGATATAGCTCTGGGTGAAGGTTCAGCCTTCACTACTGGAAAACAGCAACAAATTCCTGTAGCCAGTCCCCTTTGACAAATAATCAAAGTAGCCGAAGCCCTAGTGACATTCGTTTCTGGAAACCGCCTCCTCTCCATTTGGAACTTAGTCTTCCCGCCTGGAGGACAGAGGCGGTGTCACTTCTGCGTTTCGCATTGTAAACCTTTCACCGGGCGATGACACACGTTTAGGTCTCTGCCCGCTCGGCTCCAGTGTTGCACGCATCCCCCAAGTGGCACAGCGCTCAGCACAATGGACAGCAACCTAGACCTGAGCCCACCACTGGAGGTGGGAACAGACCCAACCTGGGTCTCAGTGGTGACTACACTGCCATAGGCTCTGAGGGAGGAGAGGACTACGGAGCCGCGCCCCCACAGGGCGAGGAGCCTTCCCTGAAGAACTGCAGTTAGTTGACCTGAGACGCGGTGGAAGTCCCAGCTAGGTGGGAGGGGAGGTGGGGGTGAGGCTCACGGCTTCCTCAGTCAGACTGCCGGCTTCACAGCACAGCTGTCCTGCTTCCAGCTGTGTGACCTTTGACGGTTACTTAATGCTGTGGTTTCAACCTAGATGTCCCGGGAAGCCTCATTGTTAAAGGTGAGTGCCTTAGGGGCTAACAGCTGCCCTGCTGTTAGAGGCGGGGCCTGGTTGGGCGAGGCAGGCACTGGGGACATCACCCGGGAGGGTTCTCTCCCCCTTCCGCTCCTCCCTTCCCTCTGCTTCCTGTGGACCATCCTGTGAGCAGCTTTTTCTCTGCCACGTCACCCTGCCTTGGAACCAGGACTGAAACCTCTCCAAACTGTGACCCAAAATAAAACTCTACTCCTTGAAGGTGTGGGTGTCAGGTATTGCGTCCCAGTGACAGAGAAAATGACTAAGGCACTTAACCTGTGTCTTAGATTTCTCATTAAAAAAAAAAAAAAAAAAAAAAAACAGGATAACTACAGTATCACCTCACAGAAGGTTTAGTGAGCTGACCTGTGCACCTGAGTCATTTTATTCATTCAACAAATATGAGGTGTGGAGGCGTTGTAGGCAGCTGAATTAGATAGAAATAGTCTAGGCAGTCAGACAGGGCCAGGCCCTCAAGGAGACAAGATGGAAGACAAGGTGACCTTACAACTTGGAAGAGACAGACGCTCCTATGTGAGCCACACCTCAAGACCAAGACAAAAGAGGAAACACAGCTACACACTTCCTTAGGGATGGGCATCAGGGATTGATAGTCTAAGTGGGTATCAATCACCTTGAAAGAGCCCAAATGCATCACTAGCCCAACCCCCAAGAGGAAGAGACCCTGTCCCATATTCATGCCCACTTGCTGTGTGACTCCCTTCCCCATTTGGTACTGGATTTAATCAATTTTACCTGAACAATGGTGCTTGTAATCTCATTGGTTGACCATAGTTTTGTCCCACCTCATGCCCACCTAAGTGAGTTCCCATGCTGTCTCTTAGACCTGCCTTACCACATGGTTTTCCTCTATAAAAGTCCCTGGAAGAGACAGCTTCCTGGGGACCACCCGCTTGCCCCCGCCCCCATCCCTCTCTCAGACAGGAGCTTTCTTTCCCTCAATAAATATATTCTGCTCATAACCTCCATTTGTTCCTAAAATTCATTCTTCAATTTTAGAGAACACACACTCGTCCCAGATACAGGTACCTTTTAGGTTGGGAGGTCAGTGTTTCTTCCTGTGTCTTTTGGAGGTTCCCTGTATCAGAGGGATGAATAAGGTAAGGGGAAAGAATATTCTCTCACAGCATGTATCAAGGTGCAGAGAAGAAGGGACATCGGAGACTCCAGCCCCTCACCAACATCAAAACACAGACAGATTGTGTCCCTGCTGTCCCAACAGAGGGCACTCCAGCCATACCAAGGATACCACAGGCTCAGAGCCAGTGCCAAGAACTGTGGGTGGGGTGAGGTAGGCGAAGGACAGAGAGACAAGAACCCGACAGGAGAGTTCAAGAAATTATAACATTTCTGAAGTACCCCAGCCCTGGGAATAAAAGAGCGACTTGGATGGTAACAGCCCATTCAGGGGGACCCAAAGGAGATTTTCCACAGGTGAGATCCTGAGGTTACAGAATGCACTTGTGCAAGACATCAGCAAGAACATCAGGCAGCATGGAGCAGGTCAGAGCACAGTAGTGTAAGAGCACAAGAACCAGAGCACAAGGGCCGGCCAAATAGCTCAGTGGATTAAAGCGCCTGCAAGCAGGCGCAGGGGCCAGGGGTCCTGCCTTGCCGGCCCCACCCTTGGGGTGAGCTAAACTGGCAATTGAGATGGGGTGTGGCGGTACACGCCTATA